GGTTTTGGTTTTCCCAAAATTTTAGGCAAATGCTTCAGTGGTAGCCCCTCTCCATATAAACACATATATATAATCTATTCCTGCTCTCTCTATACGAACAAATATCCTGAATCAGGGTCATTTTATTGTTTTGGAAGCAGTAAGCAGTCATTCAGATGGTTTTGAACAAAATTCATTAGGACAGAAGCAGGCCATAAAAGTGTCTCTAGCGCTCTGCTTATAATTATGTTTAGATTTGGAAAGATTTTATATAGACGCGTTTATGTTACACGAGATTCTCTATAGATCTCTGCAAATAATCATTTTTTAGATTTAAGCAACTATATAGAAACCTTGTATGTTAAAAGCTTTATTCTAGATTTCTGCGGGTAAGAGCTTGCATTTTCAAAGTTTTCCTCTGGATCTCTGGGAAAGTAGATATCCCATATATGTGTGTTTTCATGAAATGAAAGCTCTTGAAAGAACAACATATTTATTGATATATAGCATGTTTAAATTGACATGATCATTTCCAGAGATCCAGAGGAAAGCTTTTGAAATGACAGCCTTTATATGCCTTTATATAGTTTTATTGTAGAAATGATCATCCACAGAGATCTAGAGGGAAGCTCTTGAATTAGAAGCTTGTACATAAAACAAATTCAATATGTCTATATTATTTCCAGTGATTACTGTAAACAAACAAAACCTAACTATTTACTTCAAAAAAGAGTTTTAGTCTTGTTCCCAGCACTCCCAGGGCAAACAAATACTGTAAAACACGGGGTTTTGTAGCATGTGTCTTCTTAAACTAAATAGACTAGTGACTAGAGCTAGAATAGAATTTGGTAGAATTAAATTGGATTTGAGTTAGAGCTAAGATAGAACTGAATTAAAACCGAATTTCAACTAAACTTGTATTGAACTATAACTAGACTATAACCTATTTAAAATTAGATGAGAGTTGAAGTAGAAAGGAATTGGAATTAAGATTAGAAGTTCGCCAGAATAAGATGTAAAACGCTTGAGCTACAAGATGCACAAGTCGAGGAGGCTTCGAAACTACAAAGCCGAAGCAAAAGCAACAAGCATTGAATTAGAACTACAGCTTACACAGATTCATAACAATTTCATGCAAATTGGAAGGTATCATTACAGTTTCATGTCAAGCTGATTGGACATGCATTTGGCCTCCACATTGATACCAATCAGAAGTTAATGCACAGATTTGTACATGGAGATTTCGACAAGGACAAAGGGGGTGGTGGGCTCAGACGCTTTCATTGTAAGAGCAAAGAACATATGCCTTTAGGTGAGACTTAGGCTCACATACTTGAAGGTTGAACGATATAGTAAGAACACAGATTGACCTAATAGGAAAACAAAAAACCTTGAGAAAACCAATAACTACCTAGGAAAAGCAAAAAACAACATAACATTGGGAAAGCCCAAACAAACACAAAAAAAACAAGATGGAACCCACGAACCCGAATGCAAACACGATCGAAAAACTAATATGTCCAAAGGACACTCTTGTAGGACACTCTTGCGGGACACTCTGTAGGACACTCTTGTAGCACACTCTTGTGGGTCACTCTTGTAGGAAACTCTTGTGGGACACTCTTGTAGGACACTCTTGTGGGACACTCTTATAGGACACTCTTGTGGGACACTCTTGTGGGACACTCTTGTAGGACACTCTTGTGGGACACTCTTGTAGGACACTCTTGTGGGACACTCTTGTGAGACACTCTTGTAGAACACTCTTGTGGGTCACTTGCAGGACACTCTTGTGGGAAACTCTTACACGACACTCTTGTAGGACACTCTTGTGGGACACTCTTGTTGGACACTCTTGTAGGACACTCTTGTCGGAAACTCTTGTGGGACACTCTTGTGGGACACTCTTTGGGACACTCTTGTGGGACACTCTTGTGGGACACTCTTGTAGGACACTCCTGTACGACACTCTTGTAGGACACTCTTGTGGGACACTCTGCGGGACACTCTTGTGGGACACTCTTGTGGGACACTCTTCTAGGACACTCTTGTGGGTCACTTGTAGGACACTCTTGTGGGATACTCCTGTAGGACACTCTTCTGGGACACTCTTATAGGAGACTCTTGTGGGACACTCTTGTGGGACACTCTTGTAGGACACTCTTGTGGGACACTCTTGCGGGACACTCTTGTGGGACACTCTTGTGGGACACTCTTGTGAGACACTCTTGTGGGACACTCTTGTGGGTCACTTGCAGGACACTCTTGTGGGACACTCTTAGGAAACTCTTGTGGGACACTCTTCTAGGACACTCTTGTGGGACACTCTTGTGGGACACTCTTGTAGGACACTCTTGTGAGACACTCTTGTAGAACACTTGTGTGGGTCACTTGCAGGACACTCTTGTGTGACACTCTTACACGACACTCTTGTAGGACACTCTTGTGGGACACTCTTGTAGGACACTCTTGTAGGAAACTCTTGTGGGACACTCTTGTGGGACACTCTTGTGGGACACTCTTATAGGACACTCTTGTGGGACACTCTTGTGGCACACTCTTGTAGGACACTCTTGTAGGACACTCTTGTGGGTCACTCTTGTAGGAAACTCTTGTGGGGCACTCTTGTAGGACACTCTTGTGGGACACTCTTGTGGGACACTCTTGTAGGACACTCTTGTGGGATACTCGTGTAGAACACTCTTAAGGGACACTCTTGTGAGACGCTCTAGTGGGACACTGTTGTGGGACAGTCTTGTAGGACACTCTTGTGGGACACTCTTGAGCGACACTCTTCTGGGACACTCTTGTAGGACACTCTTGTAGGACACTCTTGTGGGTCACTCTTGTGGGGCACTCTTGTGGGACACGCTTGTGGGACACTCTTCTGGGACACTCTTGTGGAACACTCTTGTGGGACACTCTTGTAGGACACTCTTGTGTGTCACTCTTGTAGGAGACTCTCGTGGGACACTCTTGTGGGACACTCTGTGGGACACTCTTGTGGGACTCCTTGTGGGACACTCTTGTAGGATACTTTGTGGGACACTCTTGTGGGACACTCTTGTAGGACACTCTTGTGGGATACTCCTGTAGGACACTCTTAAGGGACACTCTTGTGAGACACTCTAGTGGGACACTGTTGCGGGACACTCTTGTGGGACTCTCTTCCAGCTCCCCAGATACTCCGCATACTACAAGGTCGCCAGTTCTCAGCTTCCAGCTCCCCAGATACTCCACGTACTACAGTTGTACTACAAGGTCGCCAGTTCTCAGCTTCCAGCTCCACAGATTGCTCCGCGTACTCAAGTTGTACTACAAAGTCGCCAGTTCTCAGCTTCCAGCTCCACAGATTGCTCCGCGTACTAAAGTTGTACTACCAAGTCACCAGTTCTCATCTTCCAGCTCCCCAGATACCCCGCGTACTAAAGTTGTACTACAAAGTCGCCAGTGCTCGCCTGCATTTCGCGCGCTCGACACGCACGATCTCCGCAGAGGGTTGCGCGGGCACCGGACAAATCGCACTCTCGCCTGCATTTCGCGCACTCGACACGCACGATCTCCGCAGAGGGTTGCGCGCGCATGGGACAAATCGCACTCTCGCCTGCATTTCGCACACTCGACACGCACGATCTCCGCAGAGGGTTGCGCGTCAAGTCTCCAAAACGAGCGTTTCGTACGAGACTTCCTCAAAAACTCACACGTCCAAGTCTGCAAAACGAGCGTTTCGTACGAGACTTCCTCCAAACGTCAAGCGGAAACACCCATCGGAGCACACACATCACGCAGCCCTGCCAAGCAGTTTCGCGATTCCAGCCCCTCCAGACAACATCCGCTCACACGCCAATCCCAATGGGACAGCGACATTCACCTCTACCACAACTCACAACCTCACGATTCCCTGCGCCTGCCACGAATCTTTCCCCATCCACGCGTCTAACGCGCACAAAGTACTGCGCCTGCCACGAAATGTCACCTCCCTCACACCTCGCAACCTCACGATTCCCCGCGCCTGCCACGAGAATTGCACTTCCACGCTTCAAAGCCCGCACGAAGTCCTGCGCCTGCCACGAAAAGTGACAATATCATCGCGTGTGAGCTTCAACAAAATTTGCACCACACCACACGTTTGGAATGATTTCGACCCGTTCAGAGAACCCTCCCATCAATCAAAATCGCCATTTCAGCTGAGACTTGTCACGAAAACAGAGCTTCGATGCCACGCCCTGAAACGCAAATCCCAATGGCACGGCCACATCCAACACCCCAAAAACACGACTCTCCAAACGCTAATCCCAATGGAACTGCGGAGCACTCTGCCCATCTCACAAAACGCTGCACCTGTGCAGCGAACCGTATCACGTTTCTTGCGCGACATGTCCGTGTCACACAAATCACAATGGATTAGCGGCGCCAACTGACACGTGACACGTCCATGCAAAGTCACTTGCAAAAGCTTCCCCCAATGGCAGCAAATTTGAGACGCGACGACGACGACAGACGACGACAGACGACGACAGACGACGACAGACGACGAGAGACGACGACACGACGCAAGCCACGCGAACACAGCTCCAACCCCCAGACCCCCAACTATAAACGGGAACCCTTCGCTACGCATTCGGGAACAAAAGAACCAAAAAAAGCAAATTCTGGGGAAGTCTTGAGGAAAGGGGGGGGGGTCCAGCCAAGAGTCTCTGAGTCTATTTTTTTTGGGTTTCTTTGTTTTTTTGGTTTTCCCAAGGTTTTTTGGCTTTTCCTAGTATGTTATTGGTTTTATCTATATTTTCTTGAGACTGTTTGTGTTTGTTTTCCAGTGCAAAGGACATTGAGGCAGCTTTCACAGACACATAGCATGAATGCAGGCCACAGTCAGTGGGAAGTTTATAGTACATAGATGGAAGTAGGCAGCAAAAACACATAAAATATGCACTCTGGTGGTCCCCTGTTCTGTAGAAAATCACTCAGGCCATCCTAGGTCACATGTTTGAACGCCCAGGGTATTTCCCTCTCCTTCCAAGGGGCAGACCGACACTTGCGACAACTTCCGCTGGGAGCCTGCCGAGGTGGACGAGCCAAACGTAGAGACATGGTTTCTGGGACAGACTGGCAAATCTCATCCAATCAAAGCCCACTGGCTTAGATATGCATTATAGATACTTCGTCCTCGAGAAACAATGCGTTGCGTTCTCTCGAGTCAGACGCCAAAAAAGATGTCCTGACACACAAGAAGCATGTTGATCCATGAGTCGTGTAAAAGTGCAACTCTCACATGGGCGCATCTTCTGCAGGACGCTTATTTGTACTTGCCGAATTCCAAGATCAGCTGTACCATGAACAACCTCACCATGGAGGTGGGCCCTGCGCGGCCTTTTGCCTGAGGATTTGGTGGAATGAAGTCTGTGCAGTTTGAGATTTAGGGGCTCCTGGCCCTACTACCAGGAGCAGGGACGTTACTAGGGGCTCCTGGCATCGGTACTAGGAGCAGGGACGCTACTAGGGGCTCCTGGCCTTACTACTAGGAGCAGGGACGCTAGCATCGCTACTAAGAGCAGGGACGCTACTATATAGGGGCTCCTGGCCTTACTACTAGGAGCAGGGACGCTACTAGGGGTTCCTGGCATCGCTACTAGGAGCAGGGGCGCTATTAGGGGCTCCAGGCCTTACTACTAGGCGCAGGGACGCTACTAGGGGCTCCTGGCCTTACTACTAGGAGTAGGGACGCTACTAGGGGCTCCTGGCATCGCTACTAGGAGCAGGGAGAACGGTCCAAGCGTCGCAGCCACACCCTCTCTGGAGTATGGTGAGTGAAAAAGAAAGGACACAGGTGGTCACACACATGTACACTAATTAGCAGCCATCGGCAACACGACATCCCACGTGTTCAATGGCCTCCCAGCACCGTTATCAAGGAGATGCACCAGCCGCAATCTTTCAATGCCGGACATGTAGACAGAAACACCAGCAATTATTCCCTTAGGGAATGCACAGCCACTGTATTTGTTGGTGGTCGCAATAAGATCGCCCGGCAGAATCTGAATATTGTCGAGACGAAGGGCCTGCTTCAACATTGAACGAACAACTACAATCAAATGATGGTAAAAGCTCACACCTGCATCTAGCTGCGTGTGAAGGTGACCCCTCCACCAAAATAGACATGCAAGTTCTGTTGTGGCCACACATGTATCATCTGAAAGCTTCCAACGGAGGTTTTGTAGGAACGTTCGGAAATGTCGCCAGTCATCCTCTGAGAAGCTCCACCGTGGCGGTGGGGTTTGCCGAGTAAAAATCTTGGGCTTCCAAGGGAATTGTGACAACTGAGCACCCCACGACCATTGAGGAAATCGTGACACCACTGATGCAGCATTGTCAGTAGAGATCTGAGGTGGTGACTGATACGTCGGAGATGGCTGCTTGAGTTCAAGGAGCCAATTCAACATAACTAACCACTCTTGTCGGCGTAATATGGCTTGCTCAATGACCTTCTGATCAGAAGGACGAACAGGTGCATGTTCTGTAGCTAACCGATTCGCTTCCCGATCGGCAATACGGTTGGCAAGAATATCACGTGACGTAGAGCCACATTCACGTGCAGCCGCCTCAGAAATAAGCTCTGCCGGTAGGTGCTCGAGGAGGTGACTTGGGATCCACGAGACAATGAAGGGGGCATTGCAAATCTCAAGGCGTAACGTCAAGACTCGGTAGATTTCACACCACCATTTTTGGTGCGACCAGCGTGGGTCAATCTGTCGAGTACGGCACAACTCATTAAATTGCTCGACAACGGATTGGCAGTCTGACCGAACATGTATTCTGCAGTGTGCTCGCTTGATGACCCGAAGAAGGGCAAACAACTCGGTTGTATAAGCCGAAAGTTCCCAATGTCGGACGGGTCCTGATTCAACGACCTGGAAGTGGCCATCGACGATGGCGTAAGCTCCGGTAGCCAACCAGAAGTAATTGCCCCATTGAACCGAACCATCGGTCCAAAAGTATTCGAACTGCTCAGGGTCGAAAAGCAATGATGTATCCCCGACCGGAGTAAGACCAAGCCTGTGAATGGCGATCTTCCTTGGGTGAGTGCACAGACCGAACGTGGAAAAGTTTTGCCCAAACTCATGGTCGGGGGGCTCCTGGCATCGCTACTAGGAGCAGGGATGTTACTAGGGGCTCCTGGCTTAGGAGCAAGGACGCTACTAGGGGCTCAGAAGCCAAAACACATCCGATCAACTTGGCCTGGGAAGTGTCATCGTCACAGATCTACGTTTTACAACACGGAAATGGGCTTCAGTTTTAGCCGCTGTACAGCACAAAAGACGCTTTCCTACTACCACTATGATGGGGCTGTCACGAAAGAAACGCAGGTTTAAGCTTTCTATTTTCATCCAGATCCCCACTTGCTGTTCTTCGCATTTTCTCGGAAGCCTTGCCTTTGCCACTGTTCAAACTATTTTACAACGTACTCTTTGTCGCGGCCTACCGCAGGTGCGCGAGCCGAAGAATGTCCCCGAGCTACGCACCATGATGCTCCGCCTCGACTCGCAGAACCCGGCAAAGACGCCACATGCACTTGGGCTATTTTGGGCTCAGTGGGGAGGGCTGAGCTGGGCTGAGCTGAGCTGGGGATGTTCATGGATGGACAGATGGATAACATTGGATAACTTACAGCAATTAGATCATTTGGATTCATTTGGATCATTGAAAGCGCCTGCTGTTCTCCCGCAGCTCGCGAATCGCTGGGAGAGGGTTTGGGGCAGGCACATTGTGTGCTAAGGTTATGCTGAATCACTGGAGCATCACACATTTATCCAATGGTGTGATAATGAGCACGGAGGCACGTGGCAGAATTTCAATGCGTTTGAGAATAGCGTTTTGGAAAAGATGATCGAGTCGAACAACTGAAAGAAACGCTTCCATATCTTCCATTTTTGAGTTGTATACAGTCATGTTAGGAGAGGAGACCATTTTGATACTCGGTCAAGACAATTGAATTTAGGGATCCCTTGCAGATAACTACAAACACATTGAAGCATCGGATGTATACTTTTCATTTCAATTGGGACAGATGCGTCAGATGCGCGAACAAGCACCCAAGGGTCTTGCAGTGCCAGGCTCTCTCCAGTTGGGATGTGGCAGGAGCCTCGGGACCACTCGATGCCGTCAGTCAAAAAAGGACCCCCTTAGTGGATCAAACTAACAAGCTTGGAAGCCTTTACTACGGTGTTCACGAATCTGGGCTACCAAGAAACGGATCATTATGATTGGCAGAGCCTCCAGTCAGACGTCTAGCTCAGGAGGAGAGCACAAGTGGGTTTCCAATGGTTTCCATACTCTTTGTCTAATGAGAATGTAATCGTAGCCACCTGGCCTTGCTTGAAGAAACAAAAAGGTTAAGAGAGTCAAGAGTCGACAATCGCAGGGAAGAATGGAGGGAACATGTTTACTATGACCATCTATGACCATTGTGGCTGGAGCCCACAGCCAAATAAGATTGCTAGGTCTCGACCCATTTCAGTTTTGGAGAGTCTCAACCTGGGCACATTTGCAAGGTGCCCCAGCTGGCCAACGTGCGCGTGATGTTGGTGGGCCAGCAGAAAGCCGAGAATTCAGCTCCTTGGCAGTACAGGTTATGCAGCAGTGGGGCTCAACATTTTTCACGCGACATCTGCATACATTGAGCGCTTGAGATTCCAAAGCAACTTTCCTTTTCTGTTCAGGTAAGTTGATGAATTTGGTCCAGCAGTTTAGCCGAAAAGGATCTAGTGACTATAGCAGATCCGTCCAAGTTGAAAGCCACCAGAAGTTGCAGCAGAAAGGTCTCACCGGTTCGCTTCTAAACACTTAGAGTGCCTTCCAGAATGGAATTGACTAATTCCCCATGATATAATGTATATACATTTGACACGACTTCAGCTTGGCCGTTCACATCTCTGAGATCTCCAACATGGCGGTCTCCTTCCGACCGGTGTCAGATGCAGATGAGCTCACGCTGCAGGATCGAAGGGAGAGCATTTTGCGGGTCGACCCTCCAGACTTTGGACATCCTTGGACCATTTTTTTAAAGCTCGCCCTTTCTTACTTAAGAAGGCGACTACTTAATTAAGTAAGGGAACTTGTTCGTTCCTAGCTAGGATGCAGGATAGCTCACGCTAATTCAAGGAAACTCCCCCCAGCTGAGGGGGGAGCGTCCTTGAAGAAGCGCTCGCAGTAGTGATTTGGTTGGTTCCTAGATTTTTAGGCACACTTATATAACCTTAGACCATTTACTGTAGACTCCAAATCTCAGAGATGGGCTGAACTGATTACAATGGTCTTTGTGATTTCGAGCAACAGTCGTAAGGTTCAGAAATTGTGAGGCTTGGTATGGATTAGTAACGGTGGAACCTACATCCATTGAACGAGATCAATTTCTAGTGAGGTACAATATGCCAAAGACAACTTAAGCTCAGCTTAAGCTCTTCTCGTCCGAGTGGCGACCCTTGTGCCATAACGAAGATCAAAGCCGTCCAGTTTGAAGGACATCCACAGATGGCATTTTGTTGCATGACGAATAGACATCCCATTGGCTGGGTGCACCCAATCTTTCATGAGATGGACTCATCCATGGACTCACCCTTGCAAACATGAATCCAGGTGGAAAGTTGGTCTCCCACTTTCTTGATCCTGAGCGGGTGTATGTCACATTGATCACTTGCTTTACCAGCCCAGACGTTTTTGCAAGCTTTCTCATCTTGCTCCCTCGGATCTTTCCCAGAGTCGTTCAAACCCTGTCCAGCTATTATTGGGCTTTGCTTGATTATATATGTCAAGTGTGTATACATGTGTCACATGTGTCACATGGAGTCGGTTGGCCTTTGCTCGACTCCCTCGCTGAGACGATCGTAGGCCTTGCAGCCCACCGGCTTCGACTTCACTGGAGCGACTGCCATCTCCTTGGGCCATGAGGCGGACCGGTCGACAGGCTTTAAGGTTCGATGTGCAAGAGTTCTAGTTGTGTTGTCTTTTCTTCTTGTTCTGCTGTCCTTTCTCCCCCCTTTTCAAACACATTCTCCAAGAGCATGGGGGTAGCCATCCCAAAACCAAAAGCAAACAAGGGTGCATTGACAATCGAGAACATACTTTGACATGCTGTTGAGACGAGAGCATGGGTGGGTGCTAGAAATCCGGTGTGGAGTTGCCGAGGGCCAGGCGGGATCAATACGTGCGTGCGGAATCCGCATGATGACCTGCATTTTGCGGATCAAGCCCAACCGATTGAAGCCGACCGGTGTTGCCCGACGAGAAGGACTGAGTTACTAATAAGCAAGCCACAACCACTCGAGTCATCTCGAGTCACTTGTGCATTGATTGATGAGAGACCTGCCAATGGGATGATTCAGGAGTGATACACTTGTATCATGACCACATGAACATTGATCACATGTGTTTAACATTGTTCAACGCCTAACTAAGCGGAACATTGCAGTGGTTGACGCAAGTCGCTCCGTTTGAGTTTCTGACGTGAAGGAGAGTGATGAGATTTGTCCATCGCCTTGGACGTGGTGCGCATCGCGCGAAGCAGTGCGGGCAGGGCTTCAGCACAGCAGTTCTTGAGGAGCGGCCAAGCTTTGTGAAGCCCCTGTTTTGGACGGGCATTGCGACCTCCCAAGTCAGTGACTGGCTTTGAAGCGGGAAATGCGGGTTTAACGGGATGCGCAGCTCCACCCCAAGCGGACTCGACATTGCGGCATAAACGATGCACCAGCCGATGCCGACCGATGCCTGCTGTACATGTTTGTGTCCATGGAAGAGCAACTTCCCCACAACTTGTACAACCACTATTGTATTCAATGCGTGCCTTCACTGTTGGCGTGCCAAGTTATGGCAAGCTTGATGCCGCCAACAAAGCTTGCTGAGGGTAACAAGTTGCCGAAACCTGCATAATCGATGGGGCCGACCCATTCTAGGCAATGTCCTTAGGCAAGAAACCAGATTTTGTGCGGATCTCATGTAAAATTAATACCATCTGCCGAAACACGTGACTCAGAGCTTAGCCCAGGCAATGGACACAGGCACGCAGGCAGGCGCGCACGCACACACACACACACACACGTGCATGCGCCTGCAGCCACCCTCGACT